TGAGACAGAGAGAAACAGCATGAGCAGTGGAGGGGCAGACACAGAATCTGAAGCAGGCTCCAGGCTCTGAGCTGTCAGCACAGAATCGAACTCACGGACTGTGAGATCATGACCTGAGCTGAAGTCGGAGGCTTAACCGACTGAGCCACCCAGGCGCCCTGGGACAGTGGTTATCTTTAGGGAGAGGTCATAGTTGTTGGCGGCATGGAGGGTGGGGAGCTTCCGGGGAAACTGGGAATGTTCTGTTTCTTGATTTGCATGTTGGTTACGTGGATGGGATGAATTGTGATCATTCATTAAGCTAATCATTTGTGACTAGATGCACTTTTCTGTACTACATTATACTTCAAAAACAAGTCTTTTAAATTAAAACAAAACAAAACAAAACAAAACCAACAAAAACAAAACAAAAGGAAAAAAAAAAAAAACAAGGGAAAAAGCAAAGTGCTGAAAGGACCTGTGACTGAGCCACTGCCAGTCTTCAGGGCACATACCCTGGGGGCAGAGTAAGTTCGAGCAGCTCCCCAAAGTTGAGGAGACCAGAACAGGCTAAGCCTCTGGGGCCTGGCACAGAGAGACAAAGGACACTGGGAGCTGTATGGGATCAGGATGGATCCTGAAGCTCAGGTGCCAGGAGGCCCTGAGGGCCACTGCCTAGAGGCTTCACCCCTCCTGTACCAAAAGATCTGAGCAAAGCACAGCTCACTTCCAGGATGCACATATGCATGTGACTGCCCAGAAACCCATAAAAGGATGATTTCGGTAAAATGTATATTTGATATTAACAGTGCATAATTTTTTTAAAGCAAAATCAATTCTATTACTTCAAGGAATTGTGGCCTTAGAATGAAAGACTAAACATGAGAATATTTCTAATTCTGGATAAATGGTGGGTGGTGAGGGCACCATATATAACTTGACCCCCCAAGGACAGAGTCTCTCTCTTGCTGATGTAAACTGTGGTAGAAAAGGCTGCTCCACACCCCCCTGCCTTTTTTTTTTTTTTTTTACAAGTACGTATGTTTCCTCACACCAGAATACCTCACCCGATGACCCCAGGGCTCCAGAAAGCTCTTTAATCATTTGTCATGGCCCTGGCCAGGGAGTGGACTCCCAAACCATTTAATACAATCTGAGATTAAAGAGGGATTATATCCAGAAATCGTAGGTTCCATAACTCAGAGGGCATCGAGGCCATCCAGTATAGAAATTGCATTTAGAGTATCAGCCCTGAAATGTGAATACGCATAAAAATCATATGAAGTACTTATTTAATGCTTTTCTTTGTTCTTCAGATTGGTTAATTTCTATTGATCCATCTCCAATTTAACTGAGTCTTTCTTCTGTCATTTCCAATTTGCTATTAAGCCCAACCAGTAAATTTTTTATTCCAGATACATTTTCAGTTCCAGAATTTCCACTTGGTACATTCTGTAAGTTTCTATTTCTCTGCTGAGATTTCCTCTTTATTCAATTATTACAAGCATATTCCTTTACGTCCTTCACCATATTTGAGCTACTTAAAAATTCTTGTATACTGGGGCACTTGGCTGGCTCAGTTGGTAGACTATGAGGCTCCTGATCTTGGGGTCGTGAGCGTAAGCCCCACTCGGGTGTAGAGATCACTTAAATAAATAAACTTAAAAAAAAAATCTTTATCTACTAATTCTAACGTCTGACTCATTTTGGCATTGGTCTCCACAGAGTACCTTCCTCCCTTAAGTAGGGGTAATGTTTTCCTTTTTCTTCTTATGTTCACCCATTTTGGATTACCCTGGACAATCCAAATGGTATGTTATAGAGACTATGGATTCTGTTCCACTTCCTGGAAGAGTGTGTTTGTTTCCTTGAATATTCTGTTGATTTGGCTGTGCTCTAACTGCAAACTGCTGTCTTCCTTGCAGGCGACAGCAGCTGCAATCTATGCCCAGCCTTCGCTGGGCTGCTTAGGGTCTGTCTCACGCATGTACAGTCTCACGCATGTACATGTCTCACGCATGTACAGAGATGCGAACAGAGTTTATACATGGCGCGTGGGGCTCCCACTTTCTGACTCTTTCCTTTCTAGGTCGTCCCCAGTCACTTTCCAGGTGCTGCTGTGAGAGCTGTGAACTCTGTCCTCTGCTTATTCAAGACAGTGAGACTGAATGTTTACTGAGTTTTAGCCCTCTTGTTTGGTGTCAACTGGGTCTTGCCCCTAGACTGATAAGCTGTAAAACTTGAAAACCTACTCAGTGCCTTTGCTGCTGTCCAAGTGGCTCCTTCTTTCAAGCATTACCTCTGCCTGTTTGGAATGCTCTTTGGTGCCTTCAAATAGTTGTTTTTGATAATTTTCCCAGCATATATATATATTTGTTTTCTACGGGAGGCTTAGTCTGTTAAAAGCAGCTCTACCATTACCAGGAGAACCCAAGCCTTGGGGTGTTTATATAAAAATGCAGAGTCAGATACCATTCCCAGAGGAACTGATGAAGTAGGCCTGGGGTGAGGCCCAAGAAACTACATTGTCACAAGCACTACAAATGACTCCACTGACCATACTGTGAGAAACAGCACACATTTCATGGCATTGCTGAGCCTTCCAGTCTCTGTTCAGATACTTCCTATCACATTGATTCCTTCTTATTATGCATATACTCCTAGAAAATCTAACGTGAGCAATGTTTATTTACCACAGGAAAACAACAAACAATGCACACGTAACAACCAGTGTTGGTGACAGAGTAAAGCACAGACCCTCCCAAAGGAGCATCAGCTCAGGCTTAATGCAGTGGCCTGCAAGGGACATCACGGAGCCATGGGAATGGCAGGGAAATGCCGAACAGAGGGAACTGGAGCAATCAGATCAAGAGACGGCAGGGTTGTCTTTCAGAGGAGGGCTTCTAGACAGAGTCCCCTGCAGGAACCCAATGCGGTGAGCTCAAGGTGAGAAAAAGACGGACTCAGGTCAGACCGGCAGGGCTTGAGAAAGTCTAGAAACTGGAATTCCGGCTCCCCCTTCCAGTAGACTAATTTTAAGCTCCATAAGGACAGACCACACCTACTCTCTTACCACTATAAGCTCAGCACCAGCACACAGCCTGATGGAATAGGCACTCAATAAATTATTTGCTAAATGAATAAAAGGAAGAAATTTTCTGGGGCCAGAGGTTATCAATGGAGTGATGTGGGTCAAAAGGCATTAGGCATCAGAGACAGCAAACCCTCCCATTGGGGCTCTATCAAGAAATAAAACCCCATGGCACAAAAACAGACACATAGACCAATGGAATAGAATAGAAACCCCAGAACTAGACCCACAAACGTATGGCCAACTCATCTTTGACAAAGCAGGAAAGAACATCCAATGGAAAAAAGACAGTCTCTTTAACAAATGGTGCTGGGGAGAACTGGACAGCAACATGCAGAAGGTTGAAACTAGACCACTTTCTCACAC